CAGTTCTAGTGTGGCTACCGCAGAGTTGTACTGAGTCAGTCAGCGAGTCCTGGACCTATCGTCGAGTTAGCCAGCAACCAGTCAGTTGTATTGTGGCATTTGGAGTGTACTATTTGTGATACTGCAGATAGCAGTAATCGTCAGATTGTAATTTGGGTGATTGTAAGAGCGAGTGTGAAATAAAATTCGCTGCATCGAATACATCGAGAATTTATTTGTCGCGATATACCCCGCAATACGCGACAATATTGTAGCGTGTTGTGTGTGTCACGCTACTAATAAGTTTACGCCGTGTTTGATATAGCGGATTTATTCCACTCACTCACCTTACACACTTTACAGTCATTAGCTCTTGCAGTGTTACAGTTACTGGTTACAGTATCTCGGAAATGCTAGACTGCTTTCAGCGGCGGCTTTCTGAAGACTGTCTTCCTCGGCGGATGATTCCAGACTCACTGTTCGAATGCATTCAACCCTGTTTTATAACCTCGGCCGCTGCTATGCAAATGAACCCTCTGTTATAACCGTGGAGACTCCTGTTAGAGTGATTGTTGTTTCCTATGCAACGGTCTATTCTAGCGTTTCCATAGAAGTGACTCTTCTGGATTTCAGACACGTTACAATATATACAGGGTCTCCCAGGTGTTTGGTGCCATACTTCAGGAGCCTACTGAGGGTTCCCTGTAGAACAACTTTGAAATAGGAACCCATGTCCGCAAACGTAAAATAGCACCACTAGGGCGGCATTTAATATCATTTTGTTTAAACTTGGCGCCTCAATGTCGAAGAGCATGCACATGCTAATTACCCCCTCCAAACTCAAGACTCACCTGCTAGAGTAGATGTTGGAGTTGGCACCCTCCATTTTCAATGCAAGCGTTACATCGACTAAAGAAACTTTGGTGCACCCTTTCAAATATTCCAGGTGTCTCACGGATCATGTCACATGCAAAAAGTATTCTGGCCAACAGCTCGAATTCATTATCCACAGGCGTGTCGTAGATCAGGCTTTTCACATGGCCCCAGACAAAATAGTTCAGAGGTGTCAAGTCTGGGGATCGGGGTGGCCAAGGCACTGGGCCCCCTCTTCCTATCCAACTACCATGAAAAGCAGCATCCAGGTAGTCTCGTGATACAATGCTGAAGTGTGCCAGCGCTCCGTCATGCTGTATCCACATTTGCCTCTGCACAATCAGTGGCACATCTTCTAACAAAGTCGGAAGGATAAGTTCCTGGAACACCTTGTAAAAGTGCCCATTGAGTCGCGGTGGTAGGAGGAAAGGCCCAGTCAAGTGATCGCCAATGATGCCCACCCAGACATTGACAGAAAATTGCGCCTGGTGGTAACCAACTACAGTAACGTTGGGGTTTTCGTCAGCCCAAACGTGGCTGTTTCAACAGTTGAACCAGCCATCCCTTGTAAACTGCGCTTTGTCTGTGAATAACACGTGATTCAGGAAGTTGGGCTGTTATAAACACTGGTTCAGTATCCACTGACAAAACTGAACTCGCGGTACGAAGTCGGCTGGACTTACGCCGTGTAGTCGCGTTGGATGATACGGATAAAGTTGTTGGTCATGCAGGATCCTCCAAACACTTGATTTTGATGTCCCCACAATCTTGGCAATGGCATGAGTGCTGGTAAATGGCTGTTCCTCTATGCAATGCAGTTCGACATTGAGGTGCCAAGTTTAAACGAAACGATTTTAATGCCGCCCTAGCGCTATTTTACGTTTGTGGACATGGGTTCCTATTTCAAAGTTATTCTATTGGGAACCCTCAGTACACTCCTGAAGTATGGCACCAAACTCTTGGGACACTCTGTATATATATATATATATATGAGGCATACCCTCAATGATTCCACTACAATGTTTGTATGTGTTTTTGACATATGAATAATATTTCACATAAAGTTTGTAGTTATTATGTCTACCTCTATACCAAATTTCACAGACCTAGTTCCAATGACTTAGTAGTTACCGCCATCACGCTTTCAACATGAAAGTCATTGGAACTAGGTCTGTGAAATTTGGTATAGAGGTAGACATAATAACTACAAACTTTATGTCAAGGATTCATAAGTCAGACACATACAAACATTGTAGTGGAATCATTGAGGGTATGTCTCACTGATCTGTCACAGAATCAGAATTTAAGTAGTAGATTCTTCCTAAAGAGAATATGCTGCTCCTAGTAACAATAATAGTTAATAATGATAAATTCTGAGCAGTAGAATAGAATATGGCTTATTGCGTGTGAACCTAGGGCCGACCCATGCCGAGCAGAGTTCTGGCCAGAAGGATTGCAGCACTGGACACATGCAGAGTGCTGCATCAAGCACAGGAGCTGGATGACAATCTGGTCCCCGTTGGCAAGGAAAGCTTCCGTGTCCGTGACGAGGAGGAAGCAACACTGGCCCTAGAGGAGCAGGATGAGGCGATCCCAAGGGACTCCTCTGAGCCACGGCCTGGCACAACCAAGAGAAGACAGTACTACTATAAACGGGTTGGTGATCCTGTATCACATGAGCATGTGTAATATTCTATTCAGTATATCTCCATTAGCCTCATGAAATCCATTTGCACCTGTTAAGCAGATAGTGTGATGATCTTGGCGCTTGTATGTATATTGGGTGCATGCATTGCTGCTTGTCTTTGATATTTTTGAGAGCAAGATCTGTCAAGAGACGAACCTTTATGTTGTGAACAAAAGTTACACATGTCTCTATCTTGTTACATGTTTCCTCCTATTTCTGAAATTTGGACAATAAGATTTTAATGTTCTGGGATGTGATCCCATGTAGTCTGGTATCAGGGTGTCCCAGGAGGAATGGACCAAACTTCGGTAGGGTGTTCCTTATGTTAAAAGTATGCCGATATAACCCAAAACACCTATGTCCAAAGTTGAACGGTTACGGAGATAATGGCCAGAGAAGTGTCAAACTTTGACTGGTGTTACACACTTGTTGATTACAAAATACATATTAAAACTGGCAGGAATATGTGGATTCTGTAATGTTAATAATGTACGTAACATCAAACTAACTTGTGAGTGACGTGAAGTCATAAAATTGAAGTACAAAATACTCGCTCGCCATGTCATAATTGTCCTTAGGGTTTCCAAGCACTATACACGACACATGACTGGCGAGCGATGATGTAATATGGCTGCGCTATAAGCCGACCACATAACTGTATTAAACGTACATTCACGGAAAATCTCTTTTGGAATTTCGTTTCCATTATCTCATGGGGATTATTATGGGACCATGTATGAATGTTTCGTAAATTATTTACACTGTCCCTGGTAAACGATGCCTCATCACTGAATAAAATTACGCTTAACAGTTCAGGATGAGCTTTTATCCAGTGGCAGAAATCCATACGCTGAGCATGGTCGCCTGGTTCCAGATGTTGTACCCTTTGATCATGGTAAGGATACAGCTCTTCATCATGTAAAGTTCGCCACACCTGCATACGTGATACGCTGATGCGAGAGGCCATTCTACGAGCGGACAGACACGGACTTCTCTCAACCATCTCAAGAACGTTCTCTCGTGTGTTTCTCATTTGTACATCCTCCCTTTCCGACTTCACAGAAACACTCGGAAGAGAACCAGTCTCACGCAATGTCTGGTGAATTCGCATAAATACACGTCGAGATGGAATCCTTCAATCGGGAAAACGCCTTTGGTACTCTTCAACAGCAGCACGTGTATTGCCACCGCAAAATCCATACACAAAATGCATATCACAATATTCAACGTGTGAAAACACAAAAGGCATTTCAGCAACACCGCACAACTACACGTAATGTACTAACCATTCACGACGCTGACGCAACATACACTGTAGTGTCTGTAAGTAGCGCATGAGATTATGGCTAGTGTGACTCACAGCACTCAAGGACAAACAGATAACAGTCACAGCTGACAGGTATAGTGCGTGGACCTGCTAGAAGACCACACTTTTCACGAGCCATTATCTCCGTAACCGTTCAACTTTGGATATAGGTGTTTTGGGTTATATCGGCATACTTTAACATAAGGAACACCCTCCCGAAGTTTGTTCCATTCCTCCTGGGACACCCTGTATAGGTACTTAACCTATCACCTGCTTCTTCAAGGTGAAACATATCACCTAAAGGTGGAGGCAGTAGCTTTCTCTGATCTGTTGATATCTACCAGACTGCACTGGATCATATACCAGAAGATTTGAAACTTCATGACTTGTATCTAGAGTAACTGTGTTTTCTTTCCAACTCC